CGGGGCGGCTGTGTGAGCCAGAAGTCCTTACCAGCTTAGAGAAGACTTACAGTCCCTTCTTCAGGAACAGCTCAGAAAAAATGAGTGTCGAGGTTTGTGCTTGCTTTGAAAGTCTTGCTTGTTAGGCTGGAATTTGGCAGTGCGTAGCCGTAGAGTGTGCATGAAGTAACTAAACATACATGGCAAGTGTGTTTCAGACTGGTTCTGTGTGCTTCAGAATACAAGGGTAAGTTAAAAAGTATTGCTACTAGTGTTTCAGTTCATCCAGACAAAACGTGTTCAGATGTGTCTGCCTTCAGTGGATAGCTGTAAACAATTCCTCTCAGTAACACACGTGTCTTAGTCTTGTAAGGGTGCCTCCCCCCAAGCAAAACAAAACAAAACAAAAACAAAGGTTCAGGGCAGTCTGCTGGGTCGGTTAAATTCAAGGCTGAGAAGTCAGCTCAGAAAGTGATGGTGACTGGGGGTAGTCCTGAGGGGTAGTTCTGATAGATTTTCTTGAAGGACACAGGATGATCATGGGAACTTATTAGGAAGTGGTTTTGAGAAAATTAAAAATTGGCATTTTAAGAAAATTAAAAATTGGCAAGACCAAGAAAATTGCAATGGGGATTTTTTAAATTTTTTTTTTAAATCACAACAGTGATTAAACCCGCTTGTTCTTTGAGGTCAGCAAGGGCTGTTGTGTGAGAATTCACTAGGAAACCTAACCTCATCCACTCTATGGCCCTAATCTGACTCTTCAGACCGCTTTTCACTTCCAAATCTCAGAGAACATTGAGAAGGGACATTGGATTCTCAAGGATGCTGGAACTTCCAGTTTGCTGTGGTGTCAGTCCCAGAGTACAGAATTCTTCAGGGCAGGGTTGGAGAGATGGAAACACTGCCTGCAAATGTGTCTAGACCTGGATGGAGGCTCTGCTGAGAGAGAGAGTAGCTTCACATCTTGAGTGGTTTGGTAGCCGACCTTTTTCACTTTGCCTGGTATTACTTGGCCAGATTTCCCTCTCATTGTAGATTCTATATTTTGTGTGCCTTCTTGATGTGCTGGCAATCTCAGATGATCCTACAGGTAAACTATAGGCAAGGTCTGTGTGGAAATGAAGTTTTATGGCTTTTAAGATATTCTGTAATGCGATTGTACTTCATCGTCATCTTGTGGCTCACATCCTACCTTTGGGGGGGGCTTCAGGGCGATTTTAGACTCTAGTCTAAGACGCGACCAAGCAGCTCTGGTTTATGACTTCCTCAGCAGTGCTGTGTATGCAACTGTCCATAAAGGAGTATAAAGCTCTAATTTAATGTTTGTTCTAAAGAATAATATTTTCATTTTTTTAAAAAGTAAAACTGTCTTGTGTTTACATTTGGTGGCTTTCTGAGCCCAGGACATTTGTTTTGTTTGTTTGTTTGTGTAATATTAACCAATTGTAGGAAGAAAATTTTCGGAAGAGAAAATTGCCTGTGGTAAGTTCAGTGATTAAAGTGAAAAGATTCAATCAGGATGGAGAGGAGGAGGAGGAGGAAGACGATGACTACGGCTCCCGCTCTGGAAGCGTCTCCAGTAGTGTGTCGGTGCCAGCCAAGCCTGAAAGGAGGTACCTGCACACATCTGTATGCTAGTCTCTGCTGTCTGCAGAAGGTCAGCCTTGAGCTGCCTGGGGGACTCGTCAGGGGATCTTGAAGAGACTTTTGAAAAGCTAGCATTTGGTTGAATAGCGTATAAGACTTTTGCATTGGTGTTTCAAAGCACTTACAGTAATGGGAGAAGCATTGGAGATGATGGTAGACAACATTAGAAAAACTGTAATATGGGGGAAATGTCCATATTCCTTACCAAAAAGAACATTTCAAGGCTTCAGGCCAGTTAGCATTTCCTAAAAACTACAGGTTGTCTGTTGGAGCCCTAAGAGAAATCTGAAGGAAGAGCATAGGCGGCGGTGATCACAGAGCTGCAAAGCTGATACAAGTGCCTCTTGCCCCTTACAGACCTTCCCTGCCGCCTTCTAAGCAAGCTAACAAGAATCTGATTTTGAAGGCTATATCTGAAGCGCAAGAATCTGTAACCAGAACAACAAACTACTCTGCAGGTAATTTGCACGTCTTGTGTTGACACTGGGTTAAAAACCAAGGGGAGATTGGAGTGAGCTGACAGTGATTGCTCTCTTGAGTTGTGGTCAACCAAGTTTCCTGCCTGATGTCAAGAAGAAATTGAGGTTTGGGCAAAAGTAATTGTAAAAGATGATTTGAAAAGTTTGAGAAAATGTCCAAACTGGCTTAGAATTTAGTTCTTTGAGCCTCATGAGACCATTTTATGCAAGAACATGAGGGCTTTGTTGTTGGATGCACTTTGAGTTAACATTCTGTCTATACCTCATCTGGAAACCTATCGTGTCATCAATATTCTTATTCTGGAAGCACTTGGTCATCGTGGACGGCCCTACTGATGTATGAAGTACTAGTGGCAAACTCCCAGTTTCACAACAACATAAAAGCCACAACAGGAAGCCCAATGGATAAGGAGTATGGGATGAAGGCATTACACGTATACAAAATGGAGATTAAATCAATTACAAACGGACTTTACAGAGGTCCATTATGAAATGAAACTAAATGATGACCATGTATAAGGGATCTTCTGAAAGCTTATGGGAACATGGAATTTTCCCATGAACTTTGAAGGGCCCCTCTTATCTGTGCAAACAATAGTTACACATTCATCTCTGATGAATGTACTTTGTGCAGTGCTGTGCTTGTCCAGTTTCGCACCTCTGTGGTAACCCCTTCTTGTAAAGTAAACCTTTGACTACCAATATTTGGTACCAGTTATTATATATTCATTCCCCTGTTTTCTTCTTAAGTTAACCTTGAATATGAGATGGATTTTGGCATTTTAGTAGGAAAGGATTGTGGAGCCCTGGTGGTGTAGTGGTTATGAGTTGGGCAGTGTGATCAGCATAGTTGGTGGTTTGAAACCACCCGCAGCTCTTTGGGAGGAAGACTGGGCTTTCTATTCCCGTCAACAGCTACAGTCTTGAAAACCCACAGGGGGTGCTGTGATCAGCATGGGCACGATGGCAGGGAGTTGAGGAAACGATAATATTTGGTTCAGGGATGGGCCACATTATGGTTCTTCTCTGGTCTATCAGCTTTAGTGGTTGTTTAAAGTGTTGGGCAATATACTTACCATAACTTTGAAACTTCTTACCTTTACAGTAGAGTTTCCCCAAGCTTTTAATGAAATAAAATTCTTTCTTTACCTTTATTATCTGAGTTACAATTTGGATTTGATGAAAGATTATAGCAAGAGCCTCTAATACATTAACAAATAAATGCTTATTAAAAGCGTATAAGTTATGTGTTTCTGGGATATGGCCTAAGATGTATTACTATTGTTTATATAGATTAGAGGGGCCTTCAAAGAAGTTTGTGGAAAAATTCCACATTCCCACAAGCTTTCAGAAGATCCTCTATACTTGGGCAATGGATCAGGTATCACTCAGGAATGATAAAAAACAAAAAAGTGCTATTGCTGAATTGTTGTGAACTCATGGGCTCTGAACCCAAGGAGATGCCCAGGTTTCAATATGACATACATGCCACTGAGTTGTGATCTGTTACTGAATTTACACTATCATTTCTTTCCTTTTCTGTAAAAGTCCCACAAAAACAGACACTTCCAGTTGCTCCTAGAACTCGGACTTCTCAAGAAGAACTGTTGGCAGAAGCGGCCCAGGGGCAGAGCAGGGTGCCCAGAGTAAGTCCTACGACCAAAGCAGAGGAGGCCAAAGGAGAGATGGTAGAGAAACGTCAAGGTAATCATCTCAGAGATGTGCACTCTTCGCATGAGCCATTCATTCTTTTCCAGTGGAGATTTTAGGAAATGCTAGTTATACTGTGAGAAAAGTGATGAATTTTAGGTCTAAAAACCATTAGAGGGGGAGAACATGCAGTTTTCAAATGATTTTTTTAAGCTGTTTAGTATTAACGAGGTGTTGAACACAATTCTCCCATGCACTCCATAATCCAGTCCAGCTAACTATCAGAATGTGCTCATGGCTACACATTTCCTTAAAGATGTAGATCATCTCTGTTCTCCCTTTTCCCTTAATAGCCCCTGTACTCACAAACTTGAAATCTGAGTTACCTGGGATGTCTTCTCTTAGCATGCTCTCTGACCTGCTGGATGTGTCTCACTGTCCCGGGACTTTAGTTTATCCCCTGACTAGCTACAGTGCCTCCAGGTCATCTTTCTGCCTCCTCTTTCCCGGCCCCCTTATTCTTGCAAAACCACACCTGTCTGACTTCCCCTCCTGGGAGACAGCATTCTGTACTCA